AACCCCAGGAGCTGAGGCCTGGGGCAGAGTGGGCTTGGGTTGGGCGGGCAGCCGCGCCTGTGGAGAGGCCGGGCAAAGGCCTGGGGCGGCGGGGAGAGTGCAGGGGGTGCAGAGTCCTGCGGGAGTGTGGGGGTCAAAGCTGTGCCCGTGCAGGGACAGGTGGCACCTCCCCGTTGAAGCAGATCAGGAACAAATCCGAGGGTGACCACAAGCTCAGCAAGCTGACCGCCAGTGCCTGGGACCCCACGGAACCCCTTCTGCCCTCGAGCTGCTCTTTAGCGGGGTGGAGGCCTGCACGGCAGTGTGGAGCCTCGAATGCCGGCGCCTCCCCAGCCACTGATTTGCTGTGCGCCCCCCAGCAAGGCCCTGTCCCTCTCTGGGGCCCAGTGTCTAAGGTGCACCTCCTTCTTGCACCCACGGGGTGATCCCACAGCCTGCCGCCGGCCCTCACGCGGCCTGTGGCGAGAGGCTGCCCGGAGCTGGGTCCTCGACAGCACAGGAGTGTGCTGCCCATCCTGGGACCCCACCCTGTGTCCTGCACTCTGTCCAGTGTGGCCACTTAGGTGGTTCCGGCCTAGCCCTTCAAGAGCACAGTCTAGGGGAGACAGACCCTGACCAGGGCGGTGGGCGTTGGGGCTTGCCGGGCTTCCCCTGCCCCAGCAACGCCGGACCATCACCTGGAGGCTGCTACAGCCCCTGGGGCTGCCGGGTGGGTCAGCGAGTCCCGCTGTGAGCTGGCGGCAGCTGCACTCACTTGTTGGAAGAACAGGTGCGAAGCGAGGCAGCAGCAGGGCAGGGGCGCCTGGGCCTCCCCGCCTAGGGCAAGGGCCACGGGCGGTCACTCTGCCTGCCGGGGCGCGCAGGAAGATGCGTGCTCGGGCGGGGGGCAGCACTGTGGGGGTCAGGTCCGCAGTGCACGGCGGGAAGTAGCCGCAGGGCAGGCCAGGGGAGCGTGGGGAGGACCGTGGACAGAAGGTGGGGGTGGAGGGGTGGGGGCCAGAGTGGCAAATAGACGGGGAGCCTGTGGGTGGTGGAAGGGAGGTAAGGCGGGGTGGGCAGGCAAGATCCCCATGGGTGGGCACGTGGTGGGCGATACACGGACGGGATGTGATGGCTCCGACGCCTGTGGCCAGACGGCTGGATGCACGGACAGGGGTGCACGGACGGGGGTCTACAGTGGATGAGCAGAAGTCACAGGAGGCTGGGTGAGGGTGGTGCCCATCAGCGCCTGAGAGGACCAGGGGTGGGCGCTGAGAGGACCAGGGCATGCCCCGTGCTGGGAATGGCGGCTGGGGCCTGGGTGGCGCCAGTGAGGTGGCGGGTGCGATGCAGGCGTGAGGGTGGGGGGCAGTGGCCGCACGGCAGCGCCAGTGCGTGTTAGTAGCGCCTGGGCGGGTGCTCGGGCACCAGTGGACGCGCGTCGGTGGATGGGAGCGTGGGCGGGCAGGTGGGCGCCCGGGCAGGGAGAGAGCGGCAGGTCTGGTGTAGGCTGGTGGGCGCCGGGTGGAGGTGCGGAGGAGCGAGGGGAGCTCACGGCCCAGGCCAGGGGACGCCGGTCGGCGCACCTGGGAGCGCGTGGAGAGCGGAGCGCAGGGCGGCTGCATGTGCAAGGAGCTGCCCAGCTCCAGGAGGCCCAGGCAGGCGCCTGCCCACGAAGCCGAAGGGCTTTGGGGGGCCACCAGGCTCTGCGGGGGCCCAGCCTCCTGTAGATCCCAGGCCCTGGAGGGTCTGCACAGCCTGAGCGCTTTGGGGATGACGTGGGCCCAGTGGGCGGAGGCCGCAGCCACCCTCCAGGGTGCTCAGGCCAGCAGGGACACACCCAGGGCGTGGGTGTCACCTGCGTTTGTGGCAACGCCCAGACACTCAGCGACCCAGCTGTGAAGGGAGGGCCCAAACCTGCCCCAGCTGCAGGGAGGCGGCAGGCCGGGTCGGCCATCTGCTGGAGAAGAAAGATGGTGGGGGTGGTGGGGGCCATCGCTGGGGGACGGGCTGGTGGGGGTGCGGCGTGGCCAGTCCTTCTGCGAAGCAAGTCAGCATTCAACAAGGTGACGCAGGAGGTGCTTAGTGGACACCCCCAGCCCTGCCTGTCCTGTGGGGGCCCCGTCCAGCCCCAGGGGCAATGGGACGTGTGTCCTTCCTGCCTTGGAGCTCCTGAGGCCACCTTTGCACCCCTGGGAGTCAGGTGGAGGTCTGGGAAGCTGAATGCGTGACCTTTGGGGTTCCACCCCCGGTCGGTTGCTTCTGAGTGAACCTCAAGGTTTGCTCCCTGAAACTGCTCCTTGTAGCAGAAAACATCAGAGTTTACGGCTGACCTGCTTCCCGAGGCCTGGCAAGGATTCAGGGCGATGCCACGGGGGTGGCGCCCTGGGACACGGGGCGGGGAGGAGCCGGCTGCCCTTGAGGGGGCAGGCGCTCCCACCTAGGTGAGAGGTGGGTGGGCCCACTGCCGCTGGCCAGGCAGCATCCAGGGGCCTCGGGCCCAGGCTGGGAGCCATGGGTTGTTATGGCAACGGGAGCTGGCCTGATGCTGCCAGCAACTCCGGGAGAGGCTCACGGGACCAGCTGGCCAGGGCCCCCACAACCCGCCTGTCCGGCACACTAGGGGACTGGACACAGCCGAGCCCGGGCGCTGGTGAGCCTGCGGTCCTACTGGGCGCCTGCCGTGCTGAAGGACCAGCTCGAGTCCCCTGGAGCCACTGCCTGTCTCTGCCGGGGCTGGGTACTGCTGTCCACAGGGCAGCTGGTGGACACTTGCCCTACCAGGGTCCTGTTGGGGTGACGGGGGTTGGCCTGCGAGTGGCTGGCTGAAGGCTCCTTCCCAGTGCTGATGGAGCAGGGGCCGGGAGGCTGCCGCTGGGGAGGGGGACCCCGGTTTCCAGGACCACCCACGTGGGGGCTGCGGGCCGGGGAGGTGGTCTGTGTGTCCCCTCAAGAGCCTGGGATCCCTGAGCCCACACTCCCCTTCCCGGCGCCCAGCAGCCCAGAGCCTGCCTCGAGGTGGAGCTGCTTGTAATCTACAGCCTGAACCTTTGATCACCCACTGGCTCACCCACCGTCACTCATTCATCCACTGAGCAGCTTGCGCACAGAGCTGGCCAGTGGGCATGGGGGCGAACAGGGATTGAAGCTGTATGCTATGGTTGGGGGGTGTCGTGACAAGAGCAGCTTACTGGGGTGTTGCTGGGAAGCCTGGTGTGATCTAGGGGGTGAAGCGGGCCCTGGAAGTCGGCTGGGGGTCAGGTGAGGAGGGGGGCAGGCCTGGGGCAGGCTTGCTAGCAGAGGGAACAGCCAGTGTAGAGGCCCCGAGACGGGCAGAGCTGGGGGAGGCAAGGAGCCGCGTGAAGACACAGGGCCGTCGGGGCCTTGCAGGCGAATGTGCGGCGGCGTCTGGTCATCTGGCCCGGGACCTTAAAAGGCCGTGCTGTGTTAGTGTGGTGGGCCGAGCTGGGCCGGTATTGGGTGAGGGCTTCGGGGAGCGTTTTGCAGGTGTCCAGGTAAGACATGGTGGTCCCAGGGAGCAGCGAGGTGATGGTGGGGATGGAGGAAGGTGATCAGGGTGAAGGGGTGATTGCCAGGCCTGGACGCTAGGCGTGGCGCTGAGAAGGGGAGAAGGCGGGTTCCGGGCAGTGCCCATCCCAGTCTGGGAAGCTGCGCGCACCGCGTCCTCAGGCTTTCAGTCCCCAGAGGAATGCCAGCCGAGCGCAGGGAAGAGGCATCCCGGCACTTGATGCGAAGCCTCTGGCCCTGCACGCGGGCAGTGCCCAGCTACGAGCAGGCAGCGCCTGAGGCCGTGCCAGAGATGCTGCTGTGGCCACCTCTGACCCCAGTGCCTGTCAGCCCCCCCCCCAAGTCCTGCCTGGACCCCTGTCTTCCTGCAGAGCTTGGGGCAGGTGCGTCCCTCAGGCAGAGGAGAGCAACAGGCCCGGCCAGCCCTCCCTGGGTCAAGTGCCCCCAGCTCCCTACCCTCTGACGAATCCTGGCCCTCCCTGTGCCACAGGCTCTGGCTTCGCACATTTGAGCAACTGCTGTTCCTCCCCTCAGTCCCAGGGGGCCCCCAAGCGGTTGCCCGCGGCTGCTAGTGACAGTGGAAATAAACACGGCCAATAAAACACAGGGTGGGCCGTTGTCCCTCAGGTTAAAAAAGCACCAGAGGCAGTGGTCCGAGGCTGCTGTGATGACCATTCGGTCGCCAGGCACCCAGATTCCTGTTCCCTTCCTGCTCTTCCATCTTTTATATGTGGCTTCTGCCACAAGCTTGCCTCATGGCGCAAAGTAACTGCCGCATCTCCACCCATCACACCCATGTTCCAGGTAAGACGCAGGCAGATGGGGAAAGGCAACAAAGAGCACACAGGCGAGCTGCCTGAGCTGCTGAGGAACTCGCCGTGGCACCCTCGGCTGCTGTGAGATCTCTGCTCGTCCTGGCTTCCAGAGGAGCCTGGGAAATGCAGAGTTGTAGCTGGCCATCTTGCCTTCCAGGATAAAATAAGGGCCCTGAGTAGGGAGGATGGGCGAACAGCGGGCAGAAGCCGTCTCTGCCCGCCCTCCCCTTTGGCCATCAGGGCCATCCTGGTTTCCCTGCTGTGCCCTGTGGCCGTCTCTGGCCACTTGCCTCGCCATGCCCCGGCGCCCACTGCCCTTGGAGACGAGATAGGAGCCACTGTGAGTGGATGTGTGAGGCCCGCCCAGAGCCCCTCCCTGCACCCAGCAGGTCCTCACTCAGTGCAGGCTGCACCCCCGCCCCCCAGGCAGACACGGAGCCCGGACATGACCTTCGCCTCGCTCGCACTTTCTAAGCCCTGAAGCCAAATTCCCATTTAGTGAGAATCAATGGCGGGTGGCGGGCCGTCCTGCCACGTGCTCTTGGGTCGATGGGCATCCAGCTGATCTGAGCTGCCGGGCAGCCCTCCCAGGGAGGGCAGAGTCCCAGCCCCGTGGGCGAGAGCAGCGGGGGCCAGGGCGGCGCTTGGAGAGGCTTGGCCTTGGCCTGAGCAAGGAGGATGTTCTCTGGGGCCGGCACCCCAGCCCAGGGCCCGCGCCCCGGCAGCTCCTGGCAGGGGGCGGGGGCCCCCAGGAATGAGGCACGCAGAGCGGACTTTCAGAGGCACAAGCCGAGCCCCGACCCCGGTCGGAGCCCTGAGGCCCAGACATCACAATCCAGCTGGGCAGCCCCGCCTGGCCCGGAGGAGTCACGGGCGGCACCTGGCCTGCCCGTCCCCCCGGAGCCCCCGGGCACAGGCGCCAGCAGCCCCCTCGCCTGCCCGGGCCGCCGGCAGCAAGCCAGGCCGCCCTTCTCCAGGTTCCTGGATGAGGTCACCGTGCGGGTCCTGGCCCCCGAGACCCTAGAGGCCCTCCGGGGACCCAGAGGCCACAGTCCGGAGCCCTCCCCAAGTGCGAGAGGTCCAGGCCTGGCCCAGGGACCCCTCGCACGGGCTGTAGGCCCAGAGAAGATTCTGGTCCTCGGCCCCCCGCTGGCCAGCGAGGCAGCAGCCAAGGGTGCGAGCAGAGTCCAGCCAGGTCAGCCTGTGGAGCCCAGTGGCCAGCAAGGAGGCCACGCTGCCTCCCCCGGGAGGCCTCCCAGCCAGGTGAGTCAGCCGGCCTGTCCCCTTGCACAGCGGGCCCGTTGTTCCTTCCCTCCCCATTCTATATGCCATCGCCCGCCAGCCCTGCCTGACCCCTCCAAGTCCCCTCATACCTGTTTTGTAAGACGTCTAATTAGGAGCGGCTGTTAGCACCAAAGGAATGAATCTCTAAGGTGAAATTTCTGACTCCAGAGCTGGCAGATGAGGAAACAATAATAGCAAGATAATACCAGCCCACAGCGCACTGCCGGGCCCTTGGTGGTTCACCCCGGGTCCAAGTGATCACCCCCTTGAATATCTGAGCCTGACACCTCCATGTGCAGAAGGGTCACAGACCCTCCCTGTCCCGCTGCGTCTTCCCAACTACACCCACCTCATGGAGCTGCAAGCTGAAGCTGCTGCCTGCTGCTCACCCGGGAGGCTGCAGACCTCCGCGGAGGGATCTTCGTAGCCTCAGCACCCCGGCCACACTCCCACGCTGGCCTCAGACAGGACAGACAGGTGACCAAAGATAAGGAAAGACCCGTTTAGCTGTACTGGTAGATGGGGTGGGCAGCTCGCGACAGGGGCAGCTGGGTGGGCCCTGGACTGGCCTCACGGGCTGTCGAGGCATGACTCCTAGCACAGGACTGGGGTCAGGGCCCCGGGCTAGGTTGGCAGGGATCTGAACCAGGCCCCTCCCAGGATGGCTGCCCTGCGGGGAGGGAGTGCATCTTAAAGGCAAGAGCTGGACGGCAGACCCCTCCCCACCCCGCAGCACCCACACAGCCAAACCTTAGAGCCGCTGCCCTAAGCTCTCCAGCCCAAGCCCCTGGGCCGCCGCAGGAGGATCAAACATCCACTCCTGTGCAGAGGAAGGGGCACAGAGGGTCACTCAGAGAGGCTGGGGCTGGGTCGGACTCTGCTGCCTGGACTTCGCTGTCCCGGGGGCCAGCAATGAGTGGGGGCCCCGGAAGCCAGCTGGCCCCTTCCCCGGGCTCGCCCTGGCTGGGCCGTACTTGGCCAGGACTGTGCAGGTTGTGGGACTCAGGTCAGGGCTTGCCGTCCACTCTGTGACGTGGGACAGGCCACCGCCCCTCTGGGCTTCGGTTCCCAGTGGTGAGAGACAGTCGCGGGGGCGGTTTTTCCTTCCCTTGTCCCATGCGGCCTCCCAGGGCCTGGTGATCTGGGACCCGCCTCTCCACCGCACTGAGCTCAGCACGCCACACAGACCTCACTCTGGGGACCCCATGACAGGGGCCAGGGTGATGCTGGGGCAGGAGTCCTTCAAGAGGGAGTGGTCCTGCACCGTTGCCCAGGCCCCTGGGTGTCTTCACGGGTCAGGGAGGAGCGTGATGCGGGAGGGGCCCAGTGCTCCAGCTGATGGTGGTGAGAGCCCCTGGCCCCACCCTCCTGGCCTGGACCCGGCTGTGTCGCCAGGGAAGCTCCCAGAGGGGGGAGGGGCTTCAGGGACTCCTGGGCTCCCGTCATCAACCCGAGAGCCCTTGGCCAAGGACGATGCCTGTCGCACACACACGTTATCCACCTTGGGGCGTGCTGGGGCGGGCCTGGGGTTTCAGTCCTCCCCCTGCGCCGTCGGGCTGTGTGGTCCTGGGCCCACGGCCCTCCCTTTCGTTGTCTAGCAAAGAAAAAGTCACCATGGAAGTTTCGTGGCGCCCCCAGCTGTCACTGCCCGGTGCCAGCTCTAACTCATACTAGAGTGTGAATGACAGCCTAGCCGCTTCCAGAGCACAGGGGGGCAAAGAGGGCAGGAAGCACCGGCCCCAGAAGGAGAGGCTGGGGGCTCTGCAGCACCCCACCCAGTGGGGCACCACAGCCCCCCCCCCGGAAACCCCCAGCCCTGCGGCTGGATTCTGTGCCTGGGGCTTTCCCCCAGGGTGACCTGACTAGTCCCTACCCGTAGGACAAGCCTGGGTGTGAGGGGGGCCCAGGTGCCGCTGAGAGGGGCACTGCTTGCAGCTCCCTACTGTTGCCACGTGGGAATGTGGGCCGCGGTTGCCAGATCTCCCAAAATTTCAGTAGAAGCCAAAAATATGGATTTTAAAATGTAAACTCCCAATTTTTACATGTTGGCTCCAATGTTTTTTAAAAAAAATTAAAACCCTCTCGCGGGCCAAAGTCGGCATGCCGGCGGCCCAATTTAGCTCTGGGGGGCCAGTTTGCAGCCACCACCCGGCGCAGACACACCGGCCCGAGGGAGGGAGGCCAGCCTGGCCGCAGGGTGGGGAGCCCACAGCAGCCAGGCCAGGGGAGGGGGTCCCCACCTGGCTCGCTCAGGCAGCAGCTCTCCTGGGGCAGATCCCTGCTGGTTCCCACGATCGCCCCACCCCCAGCCCTGTCGTGGGGTGCGGCTCTAGCCCCTGCAGGCTCTCAGACACCCGAACCCTCCTCCGAACCCCAACCCACCACTCACTGCCTTGGCCACACCCTGCTTGTTGGGTGATCTAATGGGGACCTCTGGACCTGAACCCCACCTCCTCCCCCGAAGCTGCCTGCTGCCCAGCCCCCGCCGGGACCTGGTCACCTCTGGCCCTTCCTCGCTCCCAGCCCCACCAGACCCCACCTGCTGCACCCCTCAGCCCAAGCTCACCCCTGAGTGCAATCTCCGCTCTCTTGCAGCCCCAGGGGCCTCCAGCGCTTCGGGGTCGATTAAAGGCCTGCCGGAACCCCCACTCGGCCCTTGCTCCCTACTGGTGGCTGGATGCCCCTCAGATCGCCAGGTACCCCACTCTGGGGCCTGTCCACCCACTGGCTTCCAGTCTGCCCACTTTTCATCTTGACAGTTCAAGTGGCGAGTTGAGCCCCCCAGCCCGGCCCTAGGTGCCCATCAGACATGGCGGGGGGCAGGGCAATGCTCGTGGCGTCTCCCGCTCTCAGAGAACACCAGCGCAGTGAAGCCAAGCCTATCTACGGCTGAACCCCTCCAACAAGGCACCCCAGGATCCCGCCTGAGGAGCGGCTGAGCTGTGGGCTCAGCCTGGCCTGAGGTCATAGCACAGGGGGGCCAGTGACCACATGGGCCGTGAATGGCCACCCTCTCTGCTCCCCATTCTTCTGCCCATTTCCTCCCGTGAGGTGGGAGATCAGGACAAGGGGAAAGTGAGGGAGCTGGAGCCAGAGAGATCCCAGGGGCTGAGCACCAGGGTTGGGGGCCACTAGGGAGGGGCGTCCCGTCCTGATGTCACCGGCGGTGGTAGGCGGAGCTGAGACCAGAACCCACTGTGCCTGGACACAGCGCCCCACAAGCCCATCGGACCTGGACCCCTCTCCTTCTCTGCGGTGTCTGGAACCGCCAGGTCCAGGGTAAAATGGGCCCCAAGCGACTGGGCAGAGGCCTGGCGCCCGGCAGCGAGCAGAGCAGGGCTGGCGCCCGCTGAGCTGTGCACACGCCACGCCGGTAACCGGTGGCCAGGCGCGCTTCGGCATGGGAAGAGGCCCCGGGGGTTCTGGGGATGGTGGGACTGGTGATTGGGCCGGGAGCGGCCCCGGTGGGTGGGGGCAGGTGCCCTCGGCTGGGGACTGAGCAGGTGCTGCTACTGCAGGCCTCCACGTGGCCATGGGGCGGACACTGCGGCCAGGCGGGGGCCTGGGGCGCTGCAGAGATGGACACCAGGGCCAAGAGCAGGAGTGGCCTGAGGCATCGTCTGCTGGGGAGCGGGTTTGTGAAGGTGTGGGTGGGGCGCTGGGCGGAGGGGGAGGTCCTGAGGCGGAAGGGAGCCCGGGGCTTGCTCCAGCCCGCAGGGGGCTGCCGGTGTGGCTGGTGTGTGCTTGATGGGGGGCTGGGGGTGGTGGCCAGGCGGGGGGCCCGCATGTCACCAGTCTCTTCTAGAGCCCCTCTGTGGAGGAGAAAGCCCAGACAGGCCTTTTAGAAGAGCTGAAACATTCAATATCAATAATTAACACTGGCTTTTTAAAATTAAATTTGAATACATGGTTATTAATTTGAGACCAGCTCCCTGCCACGTGATTCACTCTGAGTGACCGGACAAGTGGAGACACAGGAAGGGTGTCCCCCGCTTTGGGCAAAAGGCCTCTGGGGAGCGGGGTATTGCCCAGCTGGACCCATCTCTCTGTGCTTTGCTTCACTTGTCTATAAAATAGGGGTGACCACTTTCCTAGGGCCATGTAGAAAGCATATGAAGGGGGGAGGGGTGCCCTCATCATCACACTTCCCTTCTGCTGAGCGCGGACTCCCAGGACTGTGGGGTCCTTTTCTCAACCGTTAGCCGCTGAGGGGCAGGGATCACCTCATCGGTCACCCCTCCCTACCCAGAGAACTCAGCCCAGACAGAATGAGGCATGAGGCGGCCTTGGTTGACGCTGGAACTCTTGGGGTTTGGGGGCTGGGGCTGACCCCCTGGGCTCGGCTCCTCCCACCCTGAGCAGGCCCTGCGGAGGCCTGGCCCACTGGTTCCGGGGTGCCCTGGTGAAGGGACAGGGCTCCTGCCAGAAAGGGAGAGGCAGGGAGAGCTGTGGGCCGGCGCGGGGGCTCCAGGCATGCAGTCTCTGTGGCTGTTGAGCGCCTGCTGTATGCCGGGATCTATCCAGCGTGCTGACGGCCATGGGACCTGGGACGGGTGGGCCTGGGCGGTCATGGGGGAGGTGTCGGCCCAGGGGAGAGTGCAGAAGAGCGCCAGGCTCATGGGCTGGACAACTTCTAGAGCCCGGGATTCTGCCTGGCTGCCAGTTCCCGCCCTTCGGGGGTCACTTCCTTGGAAAGTCCCTGCCCCGGCCCAGCCTTTGCAGCCCGCGGGTGCAGAGGGGCAGCCCAGAGGACCTCCGTCCCCTGCCCCGACCCCCGCTTCCAGGTGAGGAAACTGGGGACCAGGAGCGTCCCAGGAAGGCCTGTCCGGGCCGCGGGGAATTGGGGGCCCGGGCCTTCAGGTCGGTGCCGGCGGCCAGGC